TATTATTATTATTATTGTAATTATTGTTATTGTTGTTATTACTATTATTATTGTTGTTGTTGTTGTTGTTGTTGTTACTATTGTTATTTATAATTTGTATAATTAACCTCTCTGTGATTCGACCCCAATCTTACCAGGTTATTTATTAATTCGACACTCCTGCATTTGGGAGAAGACATCAATTTTTTAGTCGTGTCAGTAAGTGGAAAAAAAACTCATAGCTGACGACTAAAAATAAAAATTGAAAAAATTAGGAGACGTGTGTAAATCAATATATTTAATTCTGTAAGGTGTGACATTTATGTGGTTATGTTTGCTAAATTTGTTAATTAAAATATTTTTTTATTTAATCCAATAATAATAAAAATAGACACACATATTAAATTAATGGAACTCAATAAAAGAAAAAAATAATATATAAGGCTACACATATTATAAATATTATTTGAAAATATTTTTTATTTTAAAAAATAAAGTTCATCAGTATAAAAGATTTAAAAACACAAATTAATAAAAAACCTCATAAAAATTAAATACATAATTAAAAAATAATCATAATTTCAAGTAGGCTTTCTAAATATCACAAGAGAGACAAGGTATATTAATCTAAATACTAATAAAAATAAGATTAAGATTAATCTTTAAAAAATACAAACAAAAAAAATTCTTGAATAAAAAAGTGAACAGTATTGCACATAGTAAAACCCGTGAAGTGAATTCAACCGAGTTTAAAATTTTAGTAAAATTTATGAAGTGAACTCGGACCGTGAATTCAACGGAGTTTAAATTTCTTTTTTAAATTTATAACAAACTTAAAAAGATACACAATATTATCCATGATAAAACATGAAATGATGGACATGCATAATATTCACTGCACATAAATTTTCCTTAAATTTATAACAAAATCTAAAAACACAATGTCAGTGTCATCCGTAATAAAACATGAAAAAGTGAATAATATGTGTACACAATATTAACTCCACACACTATGATTTATTTAGGGTGAATCCTAATCATAATCTCAATTAAAGTTGATGTTTATAGCAAACCTTAAAAAAATTTAAAAATATTATTTATAGTCAATCATGTTAGGATGAACAGTGTGGCGGTACAGTGTCAACCTCACCCATTTACCCCTTAAATTTATAATTAAAAAAGAAAGAAAAAATAATGAGCAGTCCATGCACGACAAACACATGAAGGGTGAATAATACAGTTTCACAGTGTTGGCCCTACACATTTTGAATTATAAATAATAAGTAATTATATATATATATGGTATGATGTAAAACATATTAAACTTTTTTTATCTAAATAATATCCTTTTTTATCCTAAAAAACAGTTGAAGGAGCCCTTCCAATTTATGATAATAGTCTTGCTCGAAAATGATCCTTATATGTGTTTTAAAACTATAGTTTTACATGGAATTTATTATATTAAAACTATATTAAAAAAATAACATGAGGAGATGTAAATATATTAAAAAAAAAAGACACGAGAGTCTAAAATCTTACAATGATAATATTATCAGGATTGATGTCATTTATCATGTCATCAATTGGTTTAAAAATTATATTTTCATAGTCCCGTTGCATCCCACCACGAGTTTTTAAATTTAGTAAAAGCCGAACTCATATTTCATATTTACTAGGCTGTTAGAAGTGTTTTTGCTGAGAGTTGGATAAAAACGTGTGTGTATTTGAAATTATAATTAAAAACTTAACCAAAACCAATATATCATAATAAATTAATTGTTAATTGTTAATAAAAAAATAAAAAAATTATCTTATTCAAATGATAATCTATTTTTTTTAAAATATATTTTTATCATTTTAGTTTTGTCTGATCCTATCTTATATCAAAAGATATTTAAAAAATGTATTAATTTAGGTTAACATGTGAAATTTACAACTAAAATAATAAATATAATCATAATAAGTTAACCTAACTAGATAATTTTTCTTTATTTTTTCTTTTATTATTTTTTTTCTTGTTGGGCCTTCATTTGGTCTTAACTTATCACATGTAAAAATAAATCTAAAAGTGAAATAAAAAAATTTAAGCAAAAACTTTAAAAGTTTGTCATATTATATTAATTGATCCTGGTAATATTTCACTGTGGGTTATATATTTTTAAAGACTTATATATAGACCTTTTTAATATGTTTTTGTATTTAAAAAATTATAAATGAAAATTTTAAAAATTTCATGTAAATGTAAATAAACAAATTAAGAATCATATGTGCTAGTAAGTGAAAAAAAAATCTCATAAACAATGACTAAAAATAAAAACTGAAAAAATTAAGAAATATGTGTAAATTAAT